GAGAGAGAGAAAGGAAATGTTTTCTATCTGAATAGAACGAATGTTTTAATGAATGTTTCTAGTTACTCACGTTTCAACTTTATTGTGACCGTTCGTGAATTTCTATCGCATTGTATATTTTTAGCGAACACATTTCCAACCTAACTGCGAGACTGTTTTTCTCATATAAATTTGTACACATATGCATTTATATTATATGTATAATACTTTGTTTTACGTACACGCATGGCAATTAATTATTTTTAAGATGTGATGTCTTTTCCCTTGTAATGCGCATTGACCATCTTTTAGAAAATGGAAATGCGCAGTATAAATGCTATTTATTATTATTATTATTATTAATGTTGAATTTTGCCTGGGTAGCGAGAGATTTATCGATTTTAGGACCACCAAGGGATCTTTTACAAGCACAAATTGCACGCAGGACCTCCGAGACTTTTTGACCTTATCTGAAAAGGCTAGGTGTTCGATCTTACCTAGCCTAAGATCAGAGGTGGGGCTGAAAGACAGCAGTATGAAGGGGCTAAGGAGAAGCAGTAGAAAGGCTGCAAAAAGAGTCAGGAGCCCCAAGGAGGGGGTGTGGGGACGAAAGCAGACGACAGAACATGATTAGACAGCAGGAAAGAAGGTGAAAGGAGAAAAAGGTTATTTTAGAAAAGAAAATTTCTTTCGCTGTCAGGATTCAAACCTAGGACCTATTGAATGAGAGGTGAACACCATAACCTCTAGACCACGACAGCCCTCACATGTCTGGCTAAAACCTCTCACATATATATTTTTTTAGCCTATTGTCATCATGAGTGAGTTTTTCAATGCGTTAAGTAAGTGTTTTATCCTGTGATTGCAGGCAGATGACTGCCTCTCTTTTACTCATCAAGCAGATTCATGTGCACCTCTATAAATAAATAGCCCCAATGGTAGACACTTAAATTGCACATCCCCATTGTTAACACTTTCAAGGTCTGCCTGATTTTCAGGGGGAATTTTCCCTTTGCGTGAAGAAATAGAATTTCAACTTTACTTTTTTTTGTTATTGTGCCCATAAAATGTATGATATGATACCATCTTTGTCGTGATGTAGTAAAATGGTTGCGTTCATTTTGCACATTTTAATGTACGGTGCATCCAGATCTGGAACTATTAAAAATGTTGGGGGGGGGGGGGGGGTCAGAATTGAACAATATTAGACAGTTATCAAAGCGTGTCTATTTTCCTGTTCATTCCTGGACAGATCTCGTTTACTTATTGAAAAAGATATTTTTTAATGGATCTGCAAGTTCTGTTAGCTGACAACACTATTTGTTTACAGAAGGTATTCACGATCATAGGTTGCGAAAATAAAAGTGTCTTACATCTTAAACGATATATAAGCATCTAATAACACAGTCACCAGTGTCTCTCAGCCCTAGAGGAAGGAGTTCTTGTTTCGTGTTTAGTTTTAGTAGACGTTTTACAGCGCTCGCAACTACATACAGTAATATGAGCGACAAGGGGTGGATGTCAACAGAGAGTCCAAACTGGGAATCAGGCTTACTCTGCTCACCTCTCTAGCCTCAACAGCACAAAGAATGTTTCGACTATCAAGGCACCCCAGAAATATCAGGTCACAAGAGAGTGACAAACAAACCAAAGAAGTAGAAGAAAAATGACGATAGTAAGGATGAGGAAAGAAAAAGCAGCAGTTTCCTCTATGTTGTTCCGGCACAATACGAGCATGACATTGATAAATCAGACCATTTACAATTCTACTGTGCATAAGGTCATGTCAATATCCCCCCTTTGGGAATGGCCTGAAGATACTTCATTCATTAGCACTGCGCGGGGAGGGGGGTAGGAGAAAGGGGTTCGATTCCTGTTTGAGTATATACGCCTTTTTTTATCGAGCATCATTGTCTTCCCACTGAGATGGTACGTCGCCCTGCTCGAATTGCGTGTAATCTGTCACGTGCCAGACAGGATCAAGGCAGCCCGCCTTCTAACTGATTTAAGGCCATCTGCGGGTGAGATTATCCCCCATTTTTACCCAGTTTGACCATACATTTTTCCCCTCCATTTTTTAAACCTACATCCTTTTCCATCAAAGTTTCAAGCGTCCGCTTCATTCAGTTATGTTTCGAAGTCATTAAGAAAGGGGTTTTTAAGAGTATTTTGCAATTTAGGGTCTTGTTTTTTAATATTCTCTTCATTTTTTTTCTAATGTTTATTTTTCCGTCTTTAAATTACATCTTCTCCATTATTTTTCATCTGAATAGCATCATTATTTTACGCAATGTACGTCCATAGGTGACCTGTACTGAAATAGAGCCCTTTTTCAAGATAATGACAGAAAAACATTACTATCATTACTATCCAATCACTAAGGTCGTAGAATTCTTACAACCGATGGCAATAATAAATAATAAATAACATGAGCAAAGCGCATAATGTCCTAACTCTACAACAAGCTCTATACATTTTAAGATCTATATTATTAACACAGCAGAACCGAGATCACTCAGAAACTTTTTCGGTTTCCTGTGAAGCATACAGTGCAAACAGCCGATCAAGCGCTAAAGCACTAACAAGCTGACAAGACCTGTTGCTTTCTATAGCAGGGTACCCATTCCCATATGGGTAAATTGACAACAATTCGTGAAAGTGCCTTTCTCAAGTACACACCATCAACTCCCTGGCGGGGTTTCGAACCACAACCTCACGGTTGAAAGCCCAACAGCCTAAACTACTGAACAACCGACACCACACTGAATCACAAATAACACAATCACGCAGTTGCAGCTGTTCATCTTTCACCACAAAAATAATGAAATCAGAAAGAAAAAGACAAACGCTCCATTTTAACAAATTGAAAGCTCATGTTCTATTTTGTTTATACTATTGTTACTTCCTCATCTCTTGTCCGGCATGACATGTCTCAGCTGGAGCAGTAGGTGATGTGTGCCAGACTTGCCTCGAGACAGCTGGAAAAACAAAAGTATTCGGATTGTGAGGTCAGTGTTTGTGGGAGACTGGAACAAAGTTGTGTCCCTTCTCTGTCTCTCTCTCTCTCTCTCTCTCTCTGTCTGTCTGTCTCTCTCTCTCTCTCTCTCTCTCTCTCTCTCTCTCTCTCTCTCTCTCTCTGCTGCCATGTTGTTTTATGAAGGAAAATGTTTCTAGTTTCTGAAAGATATGTTTCTGAAAGATAAGGCACAAAAAATCAGACTTTAGGAATACAACAGTTTGACATCTAACAGAAAGAGACGTTGGACTGCACCCGTACTTTAAATAAAAATAGTTCAATACAAAACAAAGCCAATTTGTACAAGTCAAAATTTTGACGGTATTCCTGATTTAAAAAACAGAAAAAGGAAAAAGTTTTAAGAAATGTAATGCAGTAGATTGTTCTTGATAGAAAAGTAAGTGTAGGTGTTACGAAAAGCAACGTCATGTCTGCAGTAACTGCTACCCAGTGGCGGTGGGTAGTGAAGGGCTTACGGGCTTGAGCCCCTCACCCCCACCCCGTCCCCACCCCAAACTCTATCCCTTAGTGAATGAAAGTTTCTTGAATAACGAAATAAGCAGTTGAAACCGTTATAATCGTACACAATGAACACACAGTTATCAGCTTGGTGGATTGCACGTTTATCAAATCACTGTTGTCACCGCTTACAACTATAGTAACCTAACAGCCAATCAAATGTCGTTAGGGCTCAGAAAGAATAAGCCGGTTCCCACGCCCGTCTTTAATGAAACTCTTCTTGCAAAAAGGTAGAAGACTTCAAAAAAAATAACACTGCACAGAGGGCGCACGCTCTCCCAGCCCTGGCAATGGGGTGAAAGTTTACGACACACTTTCCCCCAGTGACCAAGATACCTATGCGCCCATTGGGCCTTTGTTAAGCGCGTTCTATTTTCCGCAACAACACGACTCAATCCACCTCATAGACGGTATGTGTTTGGAGTGCTGTGTGTTTGTGCCGCTGAGATTTAACAGTTATCAATTACATCAAACTACTTTTGAGGCAGCTTTTTCTTCAGATAAAAACTAATTAGAGAAATTTGGAGGTGAAACGGTTTCATACCCACAATCCAGAAGCTTAAATTTAACAAAGAACAAAGAGATAGAAGACAAAGGTGACTCTTCTCACTTGAATGTTCTCAAAATGCCGTGGCTCGCCGTGAGTATAGAAAAATCATCACTGTTTTGTTCTTATTGCTTGCTTTTTGGTGGTAGAGAAGTGGAAGAAACCTAAGCCCCACCCAAATCTTGGTCCACCCACCGCCACTGCTGCTACCGCCCTGATGTGACATACACATAAGATGGGACGAACTCGTGGTGTGACTCACACATAACAGTGGTATAAAACTTGGGGGAACATTTCCGAGGAGCTCTAATTCAATATAGGGGTTACATGGAGTCTTGGGACAAAATAAAAATGAATTCAAAACAAAATGTTTGTCGTGCTTCACACACTCTATATAGAGGGGGAAGAAAAAGCTATACAGTTTGAAAAAAAGCCAAAACGCATGTTCTATTCATCTTATCCAGTAAAAGTTAACGATGGAACCATTTGAATTATGATTGGCGGTGTGTATACCTTGTCTCCATCTCTGCTCGATTTGTCCTTGCTATGGGGAGACCTTGGATCGACATCACCATCGCCAGTAGATATAGAGAACTCTACACGCCATCATGGTCAGTAGATCTCACAGCACACTCTACACGTCATCAGGGCCAGTAGAAGATCTCACAGCACACTCTACACGTCATCACGGCCAGTAGAAGATCTCACAGCACACTCTACACGTCATCACGGCCAGTAGAAGATCTCACAGCAGACTCACTCTACACGTCATCACGGCCAGTAGAAGATCTCACAGCACACTCTACACGTCATCACGGCCAGTAGAAGATCTCACAGCAGACTCCACGCGTCTCAGTACATCTCACAGAAGCTCCTCCTGAAAAGAAAAACAACCAATAAGCCACCAACACCACAGAGTAAAGCCTGTATTACACGTTCAGATAAAACTGACAGTTGTCCGTCCTCTTTGTGATGAGAAAATAACACATGATGCAATCTCAACAATTTTTTCTGTGTGTGTGTGATCTTCAAATTCCAGCAAGAAAAATGTCATCCGCGAGTCATTTTGTTAAATTAGATACCCTGGTTTTATTTTTACGCTAGGATGATTTAGTTTTAGTAACGTTTTACAGCGCTCCCAACTGCATAAGGTCATATGAGCGCCAAGGGGTGGATGTCAACAGAGAAGTCCAAACAGGGAATCAGGCTTCCTCTACTCATCTCTGTAGCTTCAACAGCACAAAGTCTTCTTCGACCATTAGAGCACCCCAGAAATAGAAGTTTACAATAGAGTAACAAACATGCAAGAGAAGTAGAGGCAAAAATGACGATAGTAAGGATGAGGTAAGAAAAAGCAGCAGGCAGTTCCCTTTTGCTGTTCGGGCACAGTATGAGCATGACATTGATAAATGAGCCCATTTACAATTGTACTTTGCATAAGAACAAGGTTAATATCACCCCTTGGGGATGGCCTAAAGACACATCAGTCAGTAGCACTGCCCTGAGTGGGGTGGGGTGGGGGCTCCGTTAGTATGTAGTTTTAAAAAGTTTACAGACGAGAAGTATATCACCAGCAGCCGTCAGCTGCGATGAGACATGGTAAATGAAACAGTGGGATAAATTGTAACGGTTTAACGCTCCTTGCAAAACTGTAGTGAATTTTTTTTAATAACTAAGAGAACGTTAACTGATAGGCAAATCTTGTCTCTAGCATTTTTTAAACATTTCCCGGATATGTTCATCAGTTTTATGCTCGTACTCATTTCTTCGATCCCAGCTCTTTCCAACACTTCATTATGTCGTTACCGCAGAATTACTATGTTTTTAGTTTAGTTTTAGTAGAGGTTTTACGGCCCTCGCAACTGCATAAGGTCATATGAACGCCATAAGATTAGAGGTGTCACAAGAGAGTAACAAACATAAAAAAGGAGAAGGGGAGATAAGGACGATAGATGTTTGATAGGAAAGAAGGAGCAAAACACACCAGAGCACCCGCCAACCACCTACAATTACAAAGTTCCATATGACATTTCGACCGTTTTGAGTTACTAAGACCATGAGTTCAGAAACCGATTGTTTCATCTGCTTTATCAAAATCGTATGATTATTCGGGGTCATTATCAAGATATTTATTCAAAGAATTGCATACAAAAAAGCTTGACATGTTGTGGAACTCAAAATTTTTAACGTCAAATTTCTCACAAATAAGTATTGAGTAGATAGAACTTTGTGATTCTGAGGTAACGATTTGCGACAGCTGATTCGGGTCAGACTGACCTAGTTTGTAGTTGTCGACCTGCGAGGGAAAACGTCAGCCACAGAACAGTGGGAAGACCACGGGGTAGGAAGTTGTACGTGACGTCACAGTCTTGAAGCGCACGCTGGGTGAACACGTCTGGACCTGAAACATCACAACACACCATGACACAGAGCACGCCCTGTGGGAGAAACATCTAACGAGAATAACCTACAGGTGGGGAAGAGTCCCCCCCCTCCCCAAGCACACCCA